CCACTGCTGCTGATCGATTGGCTGATATGGAATGACGTACATACTTGGATGTACAAAGCGCAAACTATTGTCTATTATATTCATTGTTTACAAACTATAATACAAATAATTATGAAATTAAAAAACCAAGAAAAAAAATTGGCCCGAAAAGCGGTAAAGCAAAGCACAGTGTAGCAAGAGCGAAAAAAGAATGGTTGAAAATTTTTGAAGCTTTTATTTTTCAACTATTATTTTATAATTATAGCTTTAACAGTACAACTGCGCTTAAAGTTTTTTCCCCATCACATCAGCGTTCCTGTAAAGTATTCCTTGCTACATATGCTACAGTATTTACCACACTACATAATACTATTATACATAGCCAGTCAACAGCGCACACGACCAGCTAACCGCGTGCTGCCAGCCATGTGAAACATCAATGTACTTCTTTACCGGCTTATATGCCCATTCACTTAAAGGTGGCACACCAAGACAAAAGAAACTACGGGCCTTGCTTGGCCGGTTTATACTGGTACGTAAAACCGGCTCAGCCACACGAGGTAGTTTCCTCATCCTGATATAAAGCGCTGATGATTGTTCGATGTTGGCGACCGGCAATGGCATTGGCCTAAAATGACGACATACCCTGTAACCATCTTTACCTCCTGGACGAATGAGGTTATGCTTCGGTAGATTTGTGCCGATTGCGTATCAAAATTCCAGAGGTTACTTTTGACAGCCTGCTCTCTTTCTCCCACACACAACCGCACTTGACAATGAATTATAGAGCCACACCAAAGTCCTCTAATTTCTCGCCGGAAGCAGTTAGGGCAAAAGCCAAGGGACGTTGTTGGCTACATACATGATAATGTGAGGACCAGTTCTGAAATACGTATTCTGCGCCAGTTAAATCAACGAGGATTAGCAGTACGCAGTGGACGAAGCTACAAATCATGCTACGGGATGTCTTCTGAAGTCGCCAACAACAAGACGAGAACCAGGACTACTGAGGATAACTACTGCACCCGGTGATGTACAGACAGCCAATTAAAAACCTCGCCTGACGCTCTCGTGCAATACACCGGCGTTAATTGGGTATGATAGTAGGTAAAACTCCCACCTGTCCAGACTCGACTCTGACATACCAACGTACTTATGTCCCGAATAGGAAAGTTCTCGAATGACACTAACCACCTCGTAAAACCACCCGTTAAACGCAATCAATAAACACCGCTATCCCTTGGATCAAAGTCCGTCAAAATAGCATGGCTGCCACCCGTTCTTCTGGCACCATTGTCAGAAGCCACGGAGCGATCTTCCCATACATCTACTGATCGCCTACCGATATGTACACCAGTTACCGTCACCGACGAGTGTCACCTAATATGGACTGGAGTTACCGTTGCTCAGAATAGCCGCCACTGCCTTTTTCGCGGCCGCTGTCAGCTCTCTCTCTCTCTCAATCGGTAAGTGTGCGTGTTCAACGCGAACACTTTGAAGTTCAGATCTCCGCTCGACGATTGGCAGAGTATTTTTTCTATCGGTTTTTTCCTAGATAAAGCATTTTTATCTGTTAATCTCTCTATCGATAAACTTATCAATATTGTTATCGATATTACTATCGGTACTTTGAACAATAATCAATACAATTACGTTGTAATCAATACAATTAACGTTCTTATCTACATATATATTTATCGATACCGTTATCGAAACTTTTACTCATATTCACATATTTACATTGAAAAGCACAATTGTAAAAGGTCTTACATGGCTTACGGTGCTAATTTAGGAATATAACGGTTTTTCGCCACTTTTGTTCCACCGTTTGCCTAGTGTAGGTGACGAAGGTGGTGAAGGTGTTCCATAACAAGCTGCATTGTTTGTTTATTGTGTTTTTTTTTTTTATCTTCTTCTTATTCAACGACTCAAGTGGGGTATTGAACTTCGTGCGACGTTTTGGCTCAGTTGCAAACGCCAGCGACTGGTGGCGCACACAAAATAAGATAAATAAATGAGTAAAAAATAAACAAAAGTAAAAACAATGTTATTAATAAATATAGCAATACTATAGCTATAGGAAGCAGAAAGTCATCAGCAAGCAAACGCAAGACCACGAGAACCTTACCAGCGGCCGCCAACAAGTGATGAGCCAGCGGCGACCAACAACCACACTCCAATGAGTGAAGCACTTGTAAAAGCACTTGAGATAGATTGATAGGTGACTACCAGGTTCAATACACAGACCAGCCAACCATCCACCCATCCACCGGAGCAAGAAGCAAGCAAGCCACATTTGAAGCAGCGGCGCAAAGCCAAGCAACCTGCANAAGTGAAGCACTTGAAAAAGCACTTGAGATAGATTGATAGGTGACTACCAGGTTCAATACACAGACCAGCCAACCATCCACCCATCCACCGGAGCAAGCAAGCAAGCCACATTTGAAGCAGCGGCGCAAAGCCAAGCAACCTGCAGCTAAAGCAAGCACGAGAAACACACGAGTGTTGAGCGCACGATGTGGTTACTCTTTTGTTATTGTTTCAATATGTAACTTATTTTATTTTATTTGGTTTGAAAAATTTTGCATTTTACGCAGACTCTTCTTCTTTCGTGAGTTGTTGTTTTTTTTTTTTGTTTGATATTTTTTTAGTTGTTGCGCAAATTATTATTACAGGCGTACTTGTGGCATAACAAGAGCAACTTTCAAGTTGTGTTGCAAGTTCACTGAGCTTCCAGGCGTGCGACGAGTGCTTGCGGCCCTCAACTGTCAGAAGCTTGGCTGCCGTACGGCGTGAACGACGAAGTGCTTGCCGCAGCAAAAGGCGCTATCACAAGCACCTAGCCAGAGCGCTAGTCCGACCGACAGACAGCCTTTGGCTGCCTGATGGCTAGAGCGCCCTACAGCTTGCTGCTGCTGTGGCTTCGGCGACCAGTGGTGGTAATTAAATTTATGCGCGTTGCACTAACTACAGTAGGCTTTTTATTTCATATTTTCCAACAATCAGTGAGCTCATATTTCAAAAGAAATTTATTCTGCATATGTGCACATGTAGGCGACTGCCAGTTTGTGTGGATATACATATGTATGTACGTATGTAACTAAATACGTATTGGAAAATAGCAATACCCCGTTCGGTTGACGTTATTTATGAATGTTGCAACGGCAAAGTCGAAGGCGCTGGCATTATTATTGTTGCACGTTTGCACATTTTTCAAGGAGGGCATATTCCACTTGAGCGCTGGGCTGCTTGACTTGCTGACTAGCTGACTAGCTGGCTGGCAAGCTGCCTTTGGGATTGATTGACTTACTGACTGCTTTAGATCGCCGACAATAGGTACTCCACATCGCAACTGCGGCTTCTTGCCATCGTGGTCGACGGTCACAATCTATGCATGTTACAGCCTCGTCGGCAGTTCGTCAGCGTCAGTTGGCAGCGATGCGTCACTTTTTAGGTGGTAGCTCTTCAAAAGTGAAGTGGTTTTATGCGCCAAACTCCCGCTGTTGTTTAGTGTTACTTTTACACCCTTCGCATTGCAGCCATACATGGCTTGTACTAGTGTCATTTGGTCTCCGCTTTGTCTTCTGCAGGTATCCAGTCCAAGTCTGAGTTCGAGTTCTAGTTGAAGCTTACAAATTGTTGCCTTTTATCGTTTGCTGCGGATTTTTTTATTCGTGCGGGTGTTGGCGCACTCTCACTCATTCCCATCTGCAGGTTATGGTATCTCATACATAACTTGAGAACATATTTGCCCATTTAAGTGGCATGTCAGGCAGCACATAAATCCACTGCATATGAGGATATGACGCCATTCTACAAATTGACAATGAGGTGCAAGAATCGCCAAGGGAGGAGGCTTGAGAAGTGTAGCGAATTTTTAATGAAAAATTTTGGAAAATGAACATGAAATGGCACAAGATTTCGCTGGAATATCCAGACAGAGATTTATTCCGCGTTGATTACTTTCGGCGCTGAGATTCCATCCGTACTTATTTTAATTCGCTAAGTCTATAACGCTGTAAAGGTCGAACAGCTCATCGTTCCATTGTCTACGATATTTGCCATCGCCAAAGCGCCAGGGACAGAAAATTGTTCGCAAAATCTTTCTTTCGACAACTAAAAGAGTCCCCTCATGAGTTTTTTTTCATTGTCCATGCTTCTGCGCCATACACCAGCACAGGCATTATGAAGTAAATAATAGAGATTGATTTTTGTACGACGAGAGAGGACTTTACTTCCCAATTGCCCACTCAATCCATAGTAGCACTTGCTGGTAAGAGTGGTTCATTCTCGGTTGGATTTCAAGGTAAACAAAACTTTGATAGTGATATTTTCAGACGTTGGGTCCTCAAAGAGGTCTAATTTTTTAGGCATGATTATAATTTATTGGTTTAAGAGATATTTGCCTATAAAGAACAAATTCAAAACTTTCTCGCTTCCCGAAGATTACTCTGCTCAAATACATAAAATGAAAGTTACTTCGATCGAATCAAAGATCGAGGAAATAGAAAGGTTTTGTCAATATTGATAAACTACCAGGCACTCAATTACTTCGTCGGCGCAACTGAAATAAGTGGGCATACAAATAAATCGAAAGCGACTGCAAACGTGCGATCAAGATGGTGGGAAGAGCTTAGCGACGTTACGCATGCGCAACAAACAACCGGCGAATGGTGCATAAATAAATAAAAAAGGCATTTATATAATTGTTCGTATGGCTTTGTGTTTTTGTTTGGCTTTGTTTTGGAGACAAATGCGGCGAGTTTTCAATTTATTTCAACCAAAAAATAGTTTGCTGAGGTCTTGGGCAGATTTGTGGCTATTTGGGGATATATTAAAAGCTTTGGGCATATAAAAGTTGCCAGATTGTCTTAACTAGTAGCGTATTTATTAAATTTCCACTGGTGCTCAGACTATTCCATCTCAGTGTAATATCATTATTTTACTTATACACTAATTGCCGTTTTTATATATTCCACATGTTCTAAGTAAAAAAAACTGGGTTTTTATTCTATTTTCAGAAAATATAACGATAGTCGGCCTCCCGGACTATGTGAACAACAATCTCAAAATAGCACTGTACGCAAAAGAAACACAACGGTACCTGTGTTTCAACGATCAGTGGAAACTAGTTGGAATGGTAAGCTCAATGAGAATTCGTTAATATTTAAGATAAAATGCCTACATATGAAAATTTTGCCCAAATTCGACGGTACAAGCCGGTTGTGTTCAAAAAAACGCCCTTAACGTCCACAGTTTTTAGATTTAGATTTTTTATTTAAAACCTCCGAGCGTATTCTGCCATGAAAAACTGCTTCTCATAAAAATACAGTCGCTGTTTGGAGTCGGCGTAAAACTGTAGATTTTATGTGACAATATCAGTAGCTTTGTGTGACAATATCAGAAGCTGGGCCAACCACTAACATGTGCTGTAAGCGCCAATCTATCATTATTTTCTATAATTATTAAGAATCATAAAGCATTTGATTCATCGTTGAGAGGTATCCAAAGGAGGGTAACCGCAGAAATCTGTAATTCCTCGATCTGCCGACTCTATTTGGGCACATACCAATTGATTCAATTGGGAGTCTGCGTTGAGCAGCTAGTATTGCAAGCATAATTTCGCCTTACAGACAACTCACAACAACTCAACAGAAATAACTCACACTCTGCACAACCTACCACAGTTACTCGATCAAAATGATTAATATGAACTTCAAAACAGTTCCGAACTACTGGATGTTGCTTGGTATGATAGCCGAACAAATCACCTGATGAACATCTTAGGCAAAGGGTTAAATAAAGGCAGAAATCGACTGTGCATATTCTTACTTTTCTTATCCTCAAGGCTTGCCATAATTTTACCAGGGCGGTATCGAATCAGGGATTGATCCGTATGTCTGCTAAAGCTACCATCTAGTTGAAAAAGTTTTCAGCGAAATGAATTTTGCAAACCGTTACAAAAGAGGTTACTCATAACATACACTATACGTACATAATATAACATATTTACAGAGTGACTCAATAAGACCGTAGAAATTCTTATATAAATAAAACAACAGAATTTGTCGAAACGATGATAAATTTTTAGTTTTTAAAAATCGGCATCAACTCCCTCTTATTCAAAAATCACGCAATTCGCGAAATATATATAGTTTTTGCAGAGACACCATTTTCATAAAACGTTGGGATCACTTTTAAGCGTTGTTCAACTGAATATCGCTCCATGACCAAGTTTGCCAAAGCCCGTAGTAAAAAGTCATTAAAATATCACAAATAATTGCCGTCACTCTTGAATCACCCCATATCAATCAGCGTGTGTAAACTCGCTTTGTACATTTTATGCTATAAATGAGTCCACAAATAAGTAGTTACTTATTTAAATAAAAAATAGATAAATCAGAAATTTGTTTTGCCTACAGTTTATTGCAAATTAAAAGCCAATTCAGTTTTCTTTATTAACTATAAGCGCCTTAAGTAAAGCCATAAGTTAACTTGCAACGTTGTAGCGGCGAGTTTTCGTCGAATGAGCACTGGCTGGTGTGTTTGCCCCGACTCGCATAGACTTTAAACATTAATTAGAATTTGCGGCAACAAAGCCGAAATAGAAAAACGTACCGCCCACACGCATGGGCAATCATTTTCTATATACTTGTAGATACGTATATGTACATATATAATTTTTTAACTAATTGCATTGAAATGATCATTTTTATTCGACAATTTTCGTCGTCGTCGTGTGGCAATTCTGAAATGACTAACGCTAGTTGACAATAGCTAAATGACAATTGGTAGCTGAGTGACAGCAGAATTACTTATTAGATACTGATACACAGCTGGCTTGCGTATGAGTGCGCGAGGTATTCGCTGGTGCACGGCTGCTCATGAGTACCTATCAAGTTTGTGTGACAATGTTGCAGCAGACAGGCTCGAGCCAATACGCCACAGAAGTTAGAGCTTAACTTAAAAAAATGGTTTTTGTGAATGAGTGTAACTACGAATGAATTGATCCGCCTGGATTTAGTACTTTAAGCGCGCGTGCTCAAAACAGTAGTGACACTTATTGTTGTTGACTTTCGAGTTGTGCTCATTCCATCAATGATGTTGACAACTTGCAGTCTCGACCCCATAGACAGGGCATATAAAGACATGTGTATTCTATTCACGCAACTATTTACTATACTACAGTTCACTATTTGGGCAATAGTGTGCTTTTTGCCCTTCGTGCTCGCGCGCACACACACACACACCTTGCCCAGGTGACAAATGTTTTTCTTTTTTAATTCTGCTCGCGCGCGAACAATTAGTGCTCATGTAAAGTGTCAAATATTGTCAATACAACAATGCAAATAACTGGAGTATAAAAGCAGAAAAGCTTTGCAGCACAAGATGTGTACACACAAATACAAATGTATTTACATATGTAGGCGTGTATGAGTGAGTGTCTGTATTTATTTGTTTGCTTGTTTATGTATCTAACAATGAGTGCAGGGGATCGCGCGCGCGCGTGTGCCACCAAGAGGCGAGTCGCACCCACAGCACTTTGAAATTCATTCATCAGAATGGGATAAGTCAAATATGTAAATAAATATGTACGCGCACGTACGTGCCTGCGTACAAAAGCGGCGTAGGTTTTTTTTCTTTTCCTAATATTTTTTCATACTTTATATTTTTGTACAGTGTATTGTAGTGCAATGAGTTTATTGCATTTATTTGCATACCTTAATTTTATTATGATTACTCGCGTATAGTCATTAGATAAGTGGTGTCATTCATTGTAGTCGGCTTTTGTGCGCTTCATTTGCTTTTTTCCCCAACTCATTTTGTGATGTCACTTTTATGACTTTAATCTGTTTGAAAGCAAATGCTGGCTTTGTGCAAAAGCCGCCGGAAATTTAATCGTTTATTAAATTTAAGTTTTTTTTTACCGCTTTGGTGTTGTCAGAAAATCCGCTTTGTGAGCAAAGTACTCATACGCCATGGTTGACCCAAATATTTTTCTGCGAAACTGGTCTTTTATAGCTTCAATACGAGTATGTATTTGAAATTAAATATTTTTGAGGGTTTGTTTGGGTATAGAAGTCAATATTTGAAATAAAAAAAGTCTTGGAAGTAATTCAGTTTAAGACACTTTTATTTGGTTGAAGAGGCAAATCCGCACTTTTAGTGCGAAAGTTGTAATTTTAATTTTTGTTTAGGTTAGCTGCATGCGTACATTTTGCCTGTTTTAAGGCAATGGAAAAGTTCTAAATTTGTACCACCGGGGGGTCCACTCGGTATTGCGATTCGAAAAGCAAATCATTCAGGTAGGTATGTAGGTAGGAAGTAGTGGCTACCGCCACAACGTTAGATATATTCTCTCTTCTAAAAGAGTATACTTTTCGTGATCGGTTCCGATCCGATTTAGGCCACGTATGCAGTGCTAACTTTGAGTAAAACGGGAAAGAGATCAGCAATACCATTGCAGACTGGCTATCACAAAAAATGAAGACGTCTCTTTCCATCATTTGTTTTCCAAGATCTTCAGCAGCTTCCATGGTAAGAGTAGCTTCAGCTTGGAATACGCCGCAGTAGTCTGGTAACCTAAGATAGATTTTCAGAGGAGGGTTTCGTGAGAAACCGCCTCCTCTCACCTTATCGTCGGATTTCGTGCCATCTGTATAGATATCAGTACTATCAGGTGGAGTGTTAATCAAGAATGATAGAATACAAGATTGCGCCGATCAGAGAGGATTTTTGAGAATAACTTTTGTGTGACGTCACACTGGTGCAATTGCGGGAGAGAAATGCCAAAACGTGAGCAAGAATGGAAGAAGAAGAAAAAATGTTGCAAGGAAAACGTAAACAAGTTGCACAAGTGTGACGTCATGCAAACAACGATTCTGTCAAATTCGTTAAGAGAGGAATAGCGGTCCGAGATCGGCGCAACCTTTGTATTCTCTCAATCGTGATTGTTAATATGTTCTTTCCACTCCTCCCTGCTTGGGTTTCTTGTGCTCAAGTTACTTTCCGGCGACGCTACGGTCTGTACTGTTCGGAATGAAGCAACATTTATCTAATATACAAGAGTGTCGATGGGCTTCAGGTTGCCAATGGAATGCCTCTCTTCAGCGAAGAACAACGAGCGCTGCTATCTGCTGTCCTGCCGTTTAGCTCCGGTGGAGTAACTGAAGATATTTTCTACCTTCTAGTAAAGAGGAAGACCTCCACATTCGCCTCCCCTTCACTACTCCACGGCAGAATAGCTGACCGATAAACTCCACCATTGAGTTGAGTTAACCACACCTAGAGCCATCGTGACGTCAATAATAGCCTTTGAAAGTATATACGTTGTTCAACGCACCTTCAATGTCCAAAAAAGCTACGAAACAGGTGTGTTTAACACTGACGTACTTCCCGATNGCCTAGAGCCATCGTGACGTCAATAATAGCCTTTGAAAGTATATACGTTGTTCAACGCACCTTCAATATCCAAAAAAGCTACGAAACAGGTGTGTTTAACACTGACGTACTTCCCGATATCATCGACCAAGCTATGATATGCGATCTCCGCAGCTTTGCCTTTAGACGACTGTCGATGTTGTTAGAAAGGAAGCTGCTAACAATCCTTTCAAGTGTATTAAGAGCAAAGAAGGAAAGAGTGATGGACCTAAGATCTTTGGAATTAATATGTGAAGCTTTTCTGGCTTTTGGGATAAAGACAACCTTAACATTTCTCCATGCCACCGGTATACGATTACGCTTGAAACAGGCCTTGAAAAAACTTCACAGCCATTTCGCAGACAACTCCAGTGTCTTAATTAGTTGTGCAGGTATCTATTATCCCGTCCGGTCCTGTAGTTCCATATGGTTTATAGCTTGGGGCTGCCCATTTAACCCTTTCTTCCGAGACGGGTATGTTCACGGTGTAGGAAGGAATAAAAGGGGTATTTCCCTCCTGCTATGTCCCAGTAAAGTGGGAATTTACGATCAAGGTTTTTTTTTTACCCCTTGGAGATCTAGGCTTCGGAGATCTGAAGAGAATCTTCCGTAGCCTCGCAGTTTCGAAACCACCTTCGATGCAACCACAGAAAATTTCCGTGACGGAGTATGATTAAAAAATCATGCGCGGGATTTATTGAAACAACATCCAAGATTTTAATAAGTAAAGAATTTATCAAGATGTTCAACAAATGTTCAATGTCAAAAACTAGCTTATTTATCTGAATATTTATTAAAACGCTATTTGTTTTTCTCTGTATTAAATCTAGGTCACTGCTGAAGAGCTAGGTGTCTCTAACAACAATGACACTTGACGCAAGTTATGTATTTTTTCATATCTACATACATATGTACATACATACAGCCAATTCGCGATAAATTTTAGATCCACTTTAGCCTTGTAAGCACTGTTGACTATGACATATATTTTCAGATTGTTAATGAAAAATCGCAACAAGTAACAAATTACTGGCTATTTTTTGCAGCTGCACAAATAGAATTCTTCTATAACAAATACATGCATGTAATCAAGTGCTCTATTGTGAATGGCTACTTAAGCTAGAAGCTCAGAGAGTACTTGTGCATATTTATTTGCAGCGGAGGTAGGTACTTTAAAATGCGTCGAAGCACACCTACGAAAAGCCACCTCATATCTACATAAATGACAAACATGCTTGTCAGCAATGGAGGGGATTTATGCAACGCTATATATATGTAAATGCATAAATGTTTGCTAGTATTTACCCAAATGCATAACAAAACACTTAGTCATAAAATATTTGTAAAAACAAACAATCACTGTCAATTTCATTACGATTCAATCACTCGCCACTTCAAGCAATCAAAATATAATAGATAATCAAAACAAATTTTGTCATTAGGAATTGTTCAATTGCATATTCATGCAAACATTTATACTCGTATAAGTAACCACAGTTAATAAATATCGAATAGTTGGATTAGGTGCATTTTGATACATTTTGTTAGTGGTAATTGTACTTTGTTCTCTGTAAAAAGGATGGTAAACAAAACTTTGAAACGAGTTCCTTTTCATTTAAATGTCCTTTAGCACTTTGAAACGGTATTGATGAAAATATGACAGACTTTATAAATTTTTCTAACTCACTTGGCATCAGTGAACTCAACATAATGGTATCTCTTCAGCAAAGGAAATGATGGGTGACAAAGGGTTTTTGCAGATGAATACGGTCGATCGTAGATATGAAACATTTAGAATCATTCAGGTAGGAATGGAGTTACGTGTATAGCTGATCAGCATTCAATAAAAGCTCAAGCTACTTTGTCGACCTCCCACAAAGTTGTACCACGAAACTGTGGAGGAATAGCGCTGTCATAAGACCAATTCTGGTTTGGTGGCCTGACCTAAACAAACAATATGTAGTTACTTAACAGCAGATGCGCTAAAATCCCTTCCGAAAAAAACGCTAAAAACTATCCTGAACCTATCGATCTTTACCTGAACGCAGTGGCAGTTAGACTCAGAGAGTCATTGCTGTAGGGACAGCAAACTATGGGTACAGGCTGCTCATTTACGAAATGTAATTAAGAAATACGACAAGTTATATGACGCCAATCATAAATTGAAGAATTTCATGGCAGAGCGATTCTCAACTACAAGAGAATGGAGTGGCGGATAAAGTAGGATCCAAGATGGAACGCCATATCTTTGAAGTAAAGTAATAACGGATGAAAAAAGCAACAATATATTCTAGCAGCAATGCGCCATTATTAGCAATAACAAAACCGGCTAGAAATTTTAAGATGGTCAGGAATTGCAAAAGGAAATAGACCGAGCGTCTCCGTGTGAAGGCCATTAAATCGGCAAGAGCAGGAGGACGAAGACCTCGGATCTGCTTAACAGATCAAGGACAGAAGTTTTCAGGGGAGAAGCAACCATGAGACTTCATAGAACCTTCCTATACTAGAGCTTGCCGCAGCTGCTGGCTAAAATATATCGAAGCAAGTGTCCAAGAGTTCCAGTGTGTCTAATAGCTATAAAACAATAAGAAGACACACAGTAATAGAACTAGCGGATATATCGGGTGCTACTTTAAGCAAAGGAGTTTCATATTTTCTTCAGGCAATCAAAATGGTTTAAGCAAGCAATCTAGGATGAAAATAGATGAAAACTAATTTCCCTAAAATATCCTAACAATACTATACGCAGTTACCAGCAAGCACTGCAAGCAACGCATCAACGTAGTTATCCCAACTAGCGATGGGGATAAAAACAACGTCAAATAACTGCTATCATCGTGGTAAATACTAAGCACAAGTTCGTCAAGAAAAGCCGAAAACGGGCTGCACGATTTGAGGTGAAAAAAGCCTCAATAGTTTTAGTAAAAATCATTTTTATCTTCAGTCTAAGCAGAGGAATGTCGAACCATGACCCGATTACCAGGGAAATTCATAATTCCCCAAAAGATCTACAAGAGTCTGCTTCTATAAAGAAATATCCAGGCCCTTTGAGAAAACTCCGCATAGTTGAGTTTTTTTAAGGACTACCACGAGCAATTCAATTTCAACAAAAAAACATACTTTTTTGGTAACAACTGCAATAAAAAAAAACATTATAGTTCTACGGAAATAATCAAAAAACTTCCTATGCAAAAGTCATCAGGATGGTAGGAACCGAGATCTGGTGCGTAAGTACTAAAACGGGCTAGTTGAAGTCAATGAACGTTGGAATAAAAAAAATCTCCTCGAGAAAAGAACTACGATACATCATATTTTGAGATCTGACTGTAAATGCTGAAGATATGACGAAAAATTATTAGCCTCAGAGGGAATTTTTTCTGGTACAGTCTACGAGTTACTTTTTTGTTTTCTTATTTTCCCAGCTCTTTGGCTACTTCTTCCGGAATTGAAAACTACAAAAAACACTTTGTTGTTCTATTGACAATAAATTACTCGCCAATGCTTACATTAACTAAGAGCAGAAAATGGAAAGTTGTATTGTTTCCTTTTTTCTTATTCTTGTTTTTGTGCGTGGAAATAGCTAGAGAGAACATGAGCAGCAGGCATGCAACAGACGTCAAGGAAATACGTTGCGCATGTGCAGCACCATTGACACTCAGTTGGCTCATATTCGTACATTGTAATTGGTGGCAACGAGTTGCAGGCTTGCATTTTAAGTGTTGTGTAAACAAAACAAGTGAATCTACATGCGTAAATGGTGGAAAAGTGGGAATGATCTCATTTTATTTCCAAATATTTAGAAGTTTGAGCACTTAATTTAACTTTTGCTCCTCGCAACCCAACTTAATTTTTTCGGAAGGAATAAATGCATAAATAAGTATGTAGAAAGGATTCAGAGGGTCGATGCGATTTAAAAAAAAAAAACTAAATTTTGGATTGTTTTTGGTTATGACATTTTTCCAGCAAACGAGTTAATCGTTTTAAAAATCTCCAGTCGCTACAACAACTCCACAAAAATCTATTTTTAAATCCAGTTCAAATGCACTTGGAGTCATTGACTGTGAAGTTTGACGCTCTGAAGGGCATGCGCGTGCGTGCAATTGACGTAAATAGCAAACTCGCGTGCGCAAGAGTTTACAAAAAAGAAACACAAATATTTATAATAAAGTACTTGAAACACAGACAAGAGCGCAATTAAAAATCAATCAAAGTAGGTGCAAAGTGGCCAAAACAAAAAATAGATTCTCAAAACAATCGAGAGTTACTAAAAATACATTTCGGGCGAAATAAGAGTGATTCGAAAAAGTTAGAATCGAAGATCTTGTAGTTATTCAGTACCAACACTATGCAATTGATACATTCCTACAATTTAGGGCAGACGAGCCAAAATGAAAGCATTCCAGTGTAGGCGAAAGATTCTTTTCTCAACACAGCCGCAACGCACAGGGCAGCTAGGCTATTGTAGTACTTCTTAAGTTGAAATAATCAAATTTTTTCTTTAATTCATTTCTATCTTTTCCATTGCAGAAAGAACTGCGCGACACCTGCTACTTCAACGAAACCATCGTACACGGTTATTTCGTGTTTCGTTCCGTAGTCGATCTGCAGCGACGTGTCGGCTTCACGCACCAAGGTAAGGCGGTCGGGCCGAAGAAGAATGTCAACGATGCCTGCTATTTGTTCACAAAGATACAGGCCGATCAGTTTTTCCATCAGCACACCAACTATTTTGCACCGAGAGCGAAGAACACCAAAAACATCAGCGGCTTACAAACAACAGCAACAACGCATACGCATACGACATCAGGGGCCTCAGCAAGATTGTCGTCACAGCGAGCGGCGCTCTCGGCGGCGGCAACGGCAACAGCCACCGCAACTGCAACTGCAACAGCGTCGCAACGCAGCAGCAATAAGATATCGCGTAATCGCAGTAACAACAAAAATAAGCGAGTGAATGAGATGCGCGGCAATAGCAGCAACAACAATAACGACCAAAATGAAGAGTACACTTATGGCCATAGTAGCAATTTAAGCAGCAATAGCAACAATAACCAGAGCAGTAGCCACCACAACAACAATAGTAGTAATTTAGTTAGTAATAGTCAGCAGCAGCAACATCAAATAGTTGTAAGTCAGCAAAAGCATCACAACAACAGCAACAGCCGTACACGTGAGCATGTTCGCCAACAGCAGCAGCAGCAGCAGCAGCAGCATCAAGTGCGGCATCACCACAACGATCCAAATTTGATTGCGCGCCGCCACCAACATGAGCACAAGCAGAAGCGTCGGCAGCATCAGCGACAGCAGCAGCTGCGCCTGCGTCTGCGCAGCGGCAAAATAACTAGTCCAGCAGCAGCAGCAGCAACAACAACAACAGCAGCGCAGGAGCATGCATCAGCGGAAACAACAACGCAAGCTGCTCTCGGAGTGACTGCGACGGCAGCAGCAGTGGGCGGCGGTTGGAAGGAGCGCAAGCGCAATAAAAGCGTTGACGCACAGGCAGTTGGGCAACAAACTGCAACGGCGATGAATGCTGCTGAGCAGGGCGCGACTGCAACTACAACAACTATGAAAACAACTACAATTGCGAATAAACGCAAGGGCCGACGAAGAAAAGTAAGGAAGCAGAAGAAACAGCAGCAGAAGCTAGAGCAGCAAATGTTGCCACTACGTGCGCGTCCGCAGCAAACGCGGCAGGACGACGCCTCGCCAACGCAAACCACATGGTGGTGGAATGAGTCGCCGACGCCACCGCTCTTCTCGTCGTCCACTTCGCAAGCGCTGGCAGATGGTGTGAGCAGCATTTCGTCGGCAACAACAAACGGCGATTACAGCGGCGAGTGGTTATCTTCGCCAACTACATTCGCCAGCACAGCAGCGGCATCAGCAAGTCCACTGGATGCCTACACAGCCTCATCTCCATCGTTGTTGTCGTCATCGGTGTCGTCAATTGCGTATTCGGCGTCAACAACCGATGTTACTGACGGCTTTTCCTCGCTCACGCCTACAAGCGACTATAGCAACTTCACAGATTTTACCAGCGGGGCGTGGGCAGATGAGGCACTCAACTCTACACTGCTTGCTGAGATGGACGACAGCAACATGTCGCCGGAGCCAACCTCAGCAGCAGACAATCAACTAAACAGTATTAATTCCCAACCACAACACTATACAACACTCAATGGGGCGGGGTCAGCATCGGAAGAGCAAGATGTGGCATCCACGTCGACAATGTTGTCCGAAAGCAGCGATCACAGCTGGTCACCAGCAACCGTGGGCACAGAAGCGGCAGCAGTAAGCGATAGTGATGTTGCTGAAACAATCTTTCCAGCGCCCACAGCAGCTTTAGAGACCGTAAGCGATGCAGCTACAGCGACTTTACCAGACGACGTCAATGCCACAGTGGAAACGCAAACTGCTAATGACGCTGATTTGTATGCAACAATGAATTCTACCTCTAGTGAAACCGAATTGGAAAGTAGCAGCAGCAGCAGCGACGGCGCCTTCACTGAAGCCCTGGCAGATGTTGCTGCCACAATGATAACAACTGTTGAACACCGAGACGTCCACATGGCGGTAAACGAGCAGGAAAATAACAAAATGGACGGCAGCCAGAAGCGGAAGAGACCATCCAGCATTGCTGCCAGCATAGCTACACTTTTGTACAATCAATTTCTGGCGACCAGCAGCAGTAGAAGCAATCACAAATACGCTTGGAAACCGCGACGTGGAGACGAATACTCAGATGAAGCAGTTGCGCTCACTGCGCGACCAGCAACAGAAGCCACAGAAACCGAGCTCCCATTAGACGATCGCGCAGCGTGGTGGCAGCAACATATGAATCATAGTGGCAGCAATTTTTGGGATAAGGGCTTCGCTGAATTGTCGCCTAGCGCGAGCGCCGATTACGCCTGGCACAAGGTCAGCAAGCAAAGGAATGAGAGTAAGCGCAGACAGATAAACAGAAGCGGCGAAAGCGTAGTTGCTGAATCAGTGTCCCAGGAACCGCTGCAGACGCTAGTGGCCAGCGAATCCAGCCTTAGCTACAGCAAGAAATACTTGGGTGGTGAGGGAAAGTTGCACCGACAGGGCAGCAAATTGTACATCAACAGCAACAAGTTGCAAACACCAGCAGCAGGCATAGCACAAGGGTACAGCAGCACAATGGCAACATCACGTGCCGCAGCTAAAACAACAATAAAGACGGCAGTAGGTGCAACGAATAGTACAACTCCATCGAAAACAATGACAACGACATCGCAGCAGCACATCTATCCGATGAAACAATTACTGGGAAACAAAACCATCTCGCCGCTCAACAATCCGTTGCAACTACAGCACTTTGACGGCAACAGCAATCACTTGGCACATCCACCAACAGCCAACACACTCATCCCATTAACTTTATCAGCCGCGCCAGCCAGCTCAACTGCGACGACCAGCGAAACGCCAACTTCGACAGCTGCCGTCGCAGCAGCGACCACCACGAAGAAGGCGATACGCATATCGACGCAAAAGCTGCTGGCCACACCTTTTCACCAACTGACCTATGTGCGGAACAACGCTGGCGACATTGACATCGACAATATTGACAACATCAGCGTCTATCCAGACCTAATGGAGGACTCGGGCGAGTTGGCAGAACAACATTCTACCGAGCGCATAGCGACCGACGCGACGCGCAACAGTCGGCTGACCATCGTAAGCGGTTATCTGCCCACCTCAGCGACGGCGACATTACCCGAATCGATACGGCTAGCAAAGGTCAAGATAAATAAGGAAAGGAAGCGCATGATGAGCTTGAGGCAAAGGCGTGGAGGAAGGCGACACGCGTAATCGAAGAAAAGCCGCTCTTAGTCGATTACTTTAGCGTGTAAGATTCAATACAAATCTGGAATCGTGATCTGATATTTCAATGGAAAGCTTTAAAAGGACTTTTTAACCGACCGGAAAAATTTACTAAGAATTTTTGAAGGTTTAAAAGATGCTTAGTACCTGTTCAATAGCCACAGAAGCTTTCAAATGAAATGTTAAGTTGAAAGCAAGCTTTAACAAAATTTCGACTTCCTCTTAGGGCGTAGCTTTGCGTAAGTGCCGGTTTGGAGAAGTCCACAAGTAGTTTTCTGGCTGGAAATTTCTCAAACGAACTTAGCCGTGAAATGCTTGCATCTCAATTTTAAAGTATAGGTTATACTTTCCACGGAAATTTAATATAATATCGATATGAACTTTTTGAACAACATCGGGTCTGAAGATAGAGCTTTCACAAATATCGTTTCGCAGTGAAAGCACTACATACTTAAGAAGGGTGGGTGCTAAATAGTTTTTTTCTTGCCTTTCTATAGCTTAAATGAGTGATTCCTCATCTTTTTAACAAATACTGAAGCGCAAAAGCACATTAACAGAGCTTGCGTTGGAATCTTTGTACAGAAATGTTTCCCAGTTTTAGAGTTTTGTGTGACTTAAGATAAATTCAAATTAGTAAAGTTAAATTGAATTAGAAATCAATGATTGTGCAAACCTGAAATCTGCGAGTTTCAAAAGAAGCTTTCGTGGAAGCTTTCAGGAGTTTTTAGAGTTTCGCCCCTGATTCCTTTCACAAAAGTTGTAAAGCTTTTTATTAGTGAAAGCTCTTACAAACACTGTTGGAAACTGTTTTTCGTATGAAAGTTTGAAAATTTTATTTTGGTTGGAAAGCAGCTTTAGGAAAGTTCCTAAAGCTCGAAAAAGAATGACTAATTTAATACTGGAGAAGACAAATAGAAATGAATTTCATAGTTACTCAGACGCTGGAAAAACAATCTTTGATAAAAAGAAAAAATCAATACGTTGAAAAAATAGTTGTCGTTTAAGATTTGTACTGAAACATGTAGAAATTGAAATTGAAAAAAAAAACATATATATATTTAAATTTACATGTTGCAAAACTATTATATCTTATAGATATTTAAAGAAAAAAATATGGAAAATTTTGTAATCACAGCGTTGCCAGGCTCACACGAAAAATATCTCACGAAACACTCAACACGACACCCTCAGCACCAAGCTCACGCATATGTACTGGTACACGAATTGCACGAATGTTGTGAGCACACACATACACAAGCTAAATACATATGAACATTCTTTAATACAACATAAACGAGAACATTTTCTGGATGCGACGAAGTTAATTTTAAACACAAAACAAAAAAATATTGAATGCAAGTTTTGTTGCAGAAAATTAATAAATGAGACAATAAGCAGCTGGCATAAGTAATAATGGAAAAAAAATTAAATTAAATAGCAAAACAATTTAATCCGCTAAATATGCAGAAATAGTAATGAACATGCTTGGGAAAAAAAACTAAACAAAATATCTAATAGAAAAAATTATACTTTTGAAAAAAGCAGAATAGCACAAAATGTTTGGCAGAAAGTAACACTAACGCTGTTCGATATGTGCAGCAAAATGCATACCAAGCGACTAGCTACTTATGTATAAATAAATAACTGTAAAAAGCGAAAATCAATTAACAAAATCCGAGAAAACCGCCTTGCCGGAACGTAGTTTTGAAAAAAGGAAAAATTATAACCAAAAACTGTACTTTAAAACGAGCAACAGCGCTGAGAAATTAATGTTTTGTCAACTAAATCGCACACAGTAACACTTCCAAACTACCAAAAAACTAAATATTTGAAAAAAAATAAAAAATTTAATTAAATTTCAAACAAAAAGGTTACACTATAAAAAATGTATTAGGACAGCATCTAGCAAAATGGTGATAGGTAATAGAAGAACATGAATTTACTGCAACTTGAAAAACGTTTTTGAAAATGGTGGCAACACTACACACCGAATGGGAAGTAAAGAGAGCTAGAAATTATGGACCGATGCAGATTTTCCTATAATTATGTGCAGCAAGCGTTCAACAAGAAAATAGCCACATCAAAGAAATACATATTAAAAATTTAGCATTAAACCAAAAACAAATTACAAAAATTTAATAAAGAATTTAGACTTTTGCAAGCGTAGGCGAAAAATTATATACAAATTGAAATTTAACATAACTAAACGCATAAGGGAACTATTTATTAAATACGAAAATATAGCAACTACTTAATTAGAAGAAATTTATAATTAAAAAAAAATAAATAAAATCTTTTTGAAAACTTAATCAAAAAATAACCGTATGAAATTTACAAAGTTTCCAGATATAACATTTCTCACTTTAGCATTGTGCTGAGTTTCTGTCGATTTTTTATAAATATTTTTTTTCGCGACATTTTATATGCTCCGCACATTTCCAAATGTCTTGATTCTCAATTTTTTAATCCTTGAATTTCTATTGATCTTTGGTTTATGCTCAAGGCGATTAACGACGGCTCAATATATTCTAGATCGGTGATGGGCACTACCTTGCCCGCGGGCAAAGCTCTTTTAGGCTTTCTATATATTTTGTATTGTGGCGTGCAGAGTAAAAGCTCTATCTGCTCATCGCTGTTCTAGATGCCAACAGGTCTCTGCCAGCTGAGAAAGCATTTTCTCTGAGCGCAAACATAGATACACAATATTTAAGAAAGGTTTCGAGATTTCGCTCGCGAGCTTTTCTATAGTAATCACACTACAAAGAGCTACTTATGCGCTCTCTATTGAGATCAGTATTGGTCAAACTATAACGACCAGAAGCTTTCTATACACTTTCAAGGGACGTGCACAGATGTAAACCTCTTCCTGGTGGCCGTCACTGTTCTATAAAAAAAATAGTGACGACCTACACATATCCCATGGAAGAAGCTTTTTTAAGCTATCTGTATATTTTATATCTTATATAAAACAGCTGTCTAAAGTACAGATTTTTTATCATTGACGAGCTTTCACTCTGTTCACTTACAAAAATCTATAGAAAGCTTTAAAGAGCTTCTCTTAGGGATTATGTTTTGGTTCGAAGCAGTATGTATTACATGGAATAGACAGAAAACTTGAAAAGGCCCGATATTAAATATGTATAAAGCTTATGTGGCCAACTCAGACCGTAACAGTCAAGGTCAAAATATATGCATGTATGTACGTATGTAAGTATACCGCAAGAAGCTTTTTATAGCTTTCTATTCTTTTTATATGCTTTGAGAGCGAACACAATAAGATCTGTAGCGTGGATCGGCTGTTCATCAGTGTTTATAAGAAGACTTCTGAGATTCGCAAAGTGGGAGATACAGCTAGAGCTTATATTTATCAAAAAACACTTAGCTTGTCGAGGCGAGGGCATTTTCTTTTAAAATCGCCCATTGAGCGACCTAAAATAAATAATAATTTTTCTAGCCAACTACTTATTTGAAACAATCAACGAAATTAATTTGAAAATAAAAGAACGTTCTTAAATTTCAACCTAAATACATAAATACCGACAAAAACAATAGTAACAGAGTTTAATTAACAAACAGTAAATACTTCACCGTTAAACTAACAATATTAATTTATTGCTCGAATATTTATAAAAACGAGAAGTACTATTTATCATTTATAACCGAATTAGTAATCAATAAAACACTAATCCTAACAAGACGAAGAGATCTGTTTGATGGCAAAACCTGATGAAAAAATTTAATAAAAAAGTTAAGACTTAACCAAACGAGGAATGGAACGTAGAGAACCTATAGTTAAACAAATTATTTCCATTTCCACAAATATAAAAACCCTAAAAATAAGTTAAAAAATTATAAATACGAATGAATTTGTATAGAAAGAGAAGCGTACGAAGTAATGCAATTAATTAGTTAATAATTAAAATGAACAGAGAAAAATTTAATGCATGAGTAATTGAAAAGGAGTTAGATTTAAATGGTTCTTTGAAAATATATAACCTACTAACAACAACAAAATACACTGCAGTAGATATTATATACAGGAAGTACATGCAAACTGGAGCGCACTTTGAATGTCATGCTAGTAATAAAGAATAGTTAAAGAATTAAGCTGCAACTTAAAATACATACATATAAAAATTTAAAAGAACAGTGTAGCTAAACTTTAATTTTAAAATTTTTATTTTATTTTGAAACTTGTTTTCGCAACTACTTTTGTTGATTTTTCTTATTTTTTTTAATATACATATTTACACGCATACAAAAACAACAATATTTTTTTATTTCTATTAAAATAATTTCCAGTTAAGTACTCCAACTAAACGTAAACAATATGGAAAGCTAAAAAATAAGCAAAAAAATGCCGAAGAAAATGCGAAAAAATATTAATTCACACTTCAGTTAACTACTAATTGCGTAAGGCTTAGAGACATTTATAGTACTGTGTATGCATGTAGCGTATTAAAATGGATGATACAGCAATGAAAATATGTAATGAAAGTAAGTAATAAGTGAATAACTAAAAACAAGAAGTGGTTAAACATATATACGAGTACGATGAGAGTAGTCAGTATATTATAAAAGTAAAAAAAAAACGAGAAAAAAATATATTTAAACGCCTATATTTGTAAATTAATTTTGTTGCCTCAAAAACGAAACACGAAAATGTAACACAAAAACTATTTATGCACTCACACGCGCATACACCTACATACATACATACATACTATTTAAAAAAAGAAAAACTGAATTCTGCATAATTTTCGCACGACACTGTAAGCCAGTAGAGGGCAGAGAAAGAGTTCAGCCTGTGCACATCTATAGATGCATAAAAAGTTTAAAAAGCCCCGCACAGCTGTTAACATTTGCCTGTCTCTACTCGTTTCATCTAAGGTCGGTGTTATGCAGAAATTTTGTTTGGCAAACTGCGTGCAATTGTTGTTGCAGCAAACTCGGAGAGAGCGAGTTTGGCGACTCTCACAGCAAACTAATTTTGTTTGGTCAAACTGCAGCAAATTCGGTGTTGTCATATACAAAAATTTTAAATTTTGCGCGTTATGTACATCTGAAATTCTCATTTCGTGTTGGCAATAGCCATGAAAACCATAATGAACGTGCAACCCTGTGCCAAACTCGACATAACCACCTCCGAGCAAACTAAGCAGCCGCCATTTAATTTGGCAAACAAAAGTTTGTCTGCATAACACCGACCTAACACAAAACTTTCACTTCTTTCACCTGCTCACTCTCCCTTTCTCTCTTTCACTTATTTAGGCTTTCAGCTAACTTTCATCAATTTCGAATAGCAACACCACTAAAGCCTATACATTGTTCGAGCTTTTGTTAGAGCTTTCACTCATCTGCCGCTAATTTATAATCGTTAAGAAAAACTGTATACTGATTCACTTTGTAGATAATTTTCCTTAGTTTTAAAAATAAAAACTAATATACAACATATTAACGAAAATTATTTAGTTTAACATTATTTTAATGTATTTTTAAGCTTTGTTTATTCTAATTGTATTGCATAGTTGTGTAATTAAATACTTAATAATAAATCACTATTTATGTGTAGAAAGAAGTGAAGCGCGCCGCAACTGCGTAAAATAAAATAATGAATATGTAAAAAATGTATACAAAGTTATTTTTATTTTTGCTTAAACTAAAACCTGTTTTCTTTAGAAGAACGAAAACTTCCCCCTTTTTTAGTTTTGAAATTTTAACTAAAACAAAATGCTAATTACCGCAAAAAAGCATCTGTATGTATCTATTACTGCGTAACGAAAAATAAAATCAAAAGTGAATATTTATTCAAATAAACATAACCGTTAAGCAAGCCCTACTAATTCGAAAGTATCGAAAGCATAAAAGTTATTTCAAAAACGAATTCTTTGTTACTACGTTAATTTTCAAGGGTATAAGAATTTATGAAAAACGTAAAAGAATTGAAAAGTGGAGAACTTAAAAGAGAAAACTGCGTATAAATAAATTTAATATTGAAAGATATTAACAAAATATTAATTGCTGTTTTATTTTTGGAAATTACATGGAGGTACAAAAAACATATTTGAAAAAATAATATAAGGTTTTTTTGTAGCTTTTCAGGGCTTGTAAACCCAGCTCAGTGTCGGTTTAAATTAGAAGATCACTCTTTTCTTGTTTTTTCGTACAGAAGTGTGCGCGTGTACAGTTTTCTTTCAGTCTAAACCAAGCTTTGAACTAGAATCTCTTGTGGCTCAGTCACACTATCACACTGATCAACAGAAGAGCATTGGAAGTTCTAAAACCTTTTAAAAAACATCACATTAATAGACCAGAGTTAGCCAATTTATTGCAAAGTAGGCAGTACATTTTTATGCTTTCTTTACACTGATATAGCCACGGACAAAGCATTTCTCCCGGGATTAATTTTTTAAAGTTTTCTTTGTATTTTCTGTGAAAGCGTTCAAAATAAAAGCTTTCTTCGAGTTCAAAATAAAAGCTCTCTTTGTGTACGAGAGTGCTTCATAATTTCAAGTGAATGCCGATGCACGGCTTCAATAACATTGTAATAATTGTCCACTTTGTATGTATGCGTTCATATCACTTCAAAGCTTTCTACATATTTGATGTAGCTTACGATCAGAGAGAGCTTTTATATTGTGCTCGCGTGTATGAAATTTGAACAAACACAGATTAGTAGCACTTTCTAGTCTTCACTGCCCAAGTGCTATGTTTGTGTCGTTACGGTTTAACATGAAGCCTATCAGCCAGCTTTTACTCTTGCGCGTTTATCAATAAGTCTACAGAAAGCTTAAAAAAGCTTTACTAGGGTGGATATTTATTAGTAATGACTACTAATCAGTTACGAAAGAGAGAGCTTTTATGTAGAAAATTTTGAAAAGCTTTTCCCGTGTGTTTTGACCTGGCTGCTATGTAAACAAACAAAGAGAAAAACTGTGAACGCAACAACTTAAAAGTTAACACCCAAATTCATAAAAAATAAAGTCGACTTTAAATAGAAATTCTTTTATGAAAATGTCACTTTATAAAGGCCATAAGCCTAACCCGCTTGAGCAAAGAAAACTCGAGACTTTATATAGCTAGGAACTTCTGGTAGATCGGTAAAAAATATACTTTCCACAATTACCCCTAAAATATCGACGTGAAGTTTGGAGAAAAAAATTATGGGTTGGTTTTCGAGACGTATCAACGCTTTTATGAAAGCTTGGTACCCCAACAGACGAACATCTGAAAAAACGAGTAAACGATGGGCTGGGGCTGAAACCTAAAATCAAAAGAGAAATAAAAACAAGTAATTTTTAGCAAAAAAACATACTTCAATTCTCATATAAAAAAAGAATATATATATATATATTTCATGATTCAATGATCGGATCGATGGGACCACCTCTGGAAATCGGTTGACGTGCGCAAAGTTATGCGGTAACATACAAATTATTTCGACGAACTGATAACCTCCTCCTTTTTTGGATGTCGGTTAAAAATAGCAAACCTTCATCTAGTGAAAGTTTTTCGAGGCCTTCGATTTATTCTTAATAAATGTATGTATGTACTATGCATAGCTTGAGCTATCCACACCCAAACTCCACTTTTAATCACTTATCTTTGTCCTCATTTCTTCGACTGCATTTTGCATGAAATTTATTGCCACCGACATGCAGTCGCAGGCACAACAAGCAAGCAAATAAAATTGGCGGCATGCGATAAGACTTTACGAGTTGTGCAGTACATACCAAACAACTTGCACACACACACACACACTTAACATTCAACTGGACGCGCATGCGCACTCAAATAGACGCGTCATTAAATCAAAGAGGCGCAAAAGTTGAAGTCATAATTTTATTGCCATGAACAGCGCGCGCGCTCGCGCTTAAGCCATAGCTCGAGCTACAAAAAATGTATGGTTTAAAAAAGTGCATACCATGCCGCCGTCTAATGGCACTCACTGGCGCGTTTAATTTCCCACAATTCGGAGAAAAAAATTGAAAAACGCTGTGCGCGCGCGCTTACAATTTTATTACGTTTTCAACTAGCTCAACGGCATTGTTTTTGCTTGCTTTTGCACAAATTGCATTGCGTTGTAGCGCCAATATGTTGGCTGTGGCATACATAATAACAACGTTGCAGATGCGTTTAGCGCCACAACAAAAAGTAGACACGCATAGGTAGACAGACAGTAGTAGTGGCAGTGGCAGCGCAGGTGTTTTTTGGCTTGGTTTTGTTTTACAAATTTTATAACCGTTGGTAGTTATTTTTTTTTATTGAGTTTATTTTTAAATATTTTAAATACTTTTTTACGCACTTTTCACGCACAGCTCGCCCGTCGATGAGTGCATTTGGCAACATGTTGCTGCCGATTCGGTTTTTGTATGGGAACGTGATAAGCGCATTGACAACTCGACAAATGAGAATTTATGTTCTGTTTTTGTAGCGAAACACAAGATGAGTCTACGCATGCATTGAAAGAAGATGCTCGCTACGCTAGCCTTCCCCTCCACATGAACACTGCTAGTGCCACAGCGTTTTTATAACGCGTATTACCTAAATTTTCCTAACAAATCTTTGTCTGCTTGGCTGCAACTTATTTATTAAGTGATTTGGCAATTTGCTGGCTAACTATTCGCTGATTACTGTAGCTCAATTGGCAAAAACTACCACGCCACGCAATGGAAAGAAACACCAGGCAAGGATTTTTATTTTTTTTTAATTTTAATTATTTTGAATAGCGTACCTGTCGGCGTTTGTGCGTGGCAGGCGGCTAGTTAAATGCGGCACATGTTCATACATACCACAAGGTATGTGCAGAAAAAAATAAACATATCTACTTGAAAGTCTGATTGTTTTACTAATTACTTCATCAGTTAGTTAATTAAGTTTTAAAGCAAAAAATAAGCAAATAAAATCGCTTAGTAGTTAATTGAAATTTAAAAGCAGCGCAACATATCGTTTATCATTTGGTATGGGTGTCGCATGCATTTCGAAAGGCAGTCAAGGTGAAGTTTTTGTTTCTACCGAAATTCAAAACCTGCCTGCCTCTTCTTTGATTGGCATCAGCGTTGCCAGGTAGACGTTTTTAATGTAATTTTGACATTTTTATTGTCTGTTGACGTTAGTTCGTTTTTGGGGTAACATTTTAGGTGTTATGG